TCAAGAAGGAATTCCCCTGGGGGCAGGTCCAGAGCAGGAGGATAAATGCAGGCCCACATAGCAAATGAATAAATAAGTGGAAGTTATATAAGAAGTGAACAGCTCTAACAACTATACCTTCTTGGTAACAAGGCCAGCCGAGTTCAAACTTGGACCACTCTGAGTTTTGCACTGAATCATGAGGCTGTGGGATAACCCTCCCCTTCTCTCTGTATTCCCTAGGCCCATCCCTCCCAACAAGCAGCCTCAAGGTTTGAACTATCCCAGTCTGATCATCCCAGCAGTCCAACTCTAACAGTTGGCCCTCAGCAATCCCACCCATTTAGCACTATAATCTTTTTGGAGGAAGGGGTTTGGAGGCTGGAATCAGGCCTGGTGAGTTTAGGCCCTGAATAGATCATGGTCTCAAAAGAAAGTATAGACTTCCTGGTGGGGGGAGCGGATGGCCTTACAGGCCCCCTACCCAAGTCCCCCTCAAGTAAAGGCAGGAATACATCTTTCCTTAGTCTCGGGGCCACTAAATAAACACAGCCCTTCTTTTCTGAACATTTCAGCTTTGCTCCAGGGGACAAGGAGGTCCTTCTCCCACAGACATGCGGCCTCCATGGAAATTCTCTGTACTTGAGCTACTTTTATGTGACACCTCCATTCCCCATAACCTTAGCCACAAATCACAAACAAATGTCAGACACTCAGCTTCCTTCTAACGTCTCATTCCTGACATTATTCTTCGGTCTGAAAAAGCAGCTCAACTTTCTCATTTTCTCCAAATTCAGAAAGCTTGTCTTTTCTTGACATTTTATCCTGCACCAAAGTAATCCTGCTCGTTCTTCTTTCTCCAAGGAAAAGTGTGGATATATGTAGACAGAGGTAGGGTTTTTGTCCCGACCACCTGTCCCAAATAAACACACAGAAGCTTATATTAATTGAAAAATGCTTGGCCAATAGCTCAGGCTTTTTACTAGCTACATTTAAATTAACCCATTTCTATTAATCTATGTATTACCACGTGGCTCATGGCTAGAGGTAGCATCTTGCTTCTTGGATGGATGGCTCCCTGGCATCTCCCCAAACTCCACCCTTCTTCATCCCAGTCCTCAGTTTGATTGTCCCGCCTAACTTTATCCTGCCTTGCTATAGGCAAATTAGCTTTATTATTAGCCAATGAGAGTAATACATATTCACAGGGTACAGAAGGATTATCCCACCGCAGATATACATACACACACACACACACACACACACACACACACACACACCCCATATGTGAATATCATCTTTAAGACGTCATTCTTCCCTCACTTTCTGTAAGAAGTCAGTAAATGTTTAAAGCTCATACCCAATGATATCTCTATTACCGGGCCCTAATTATTACCTAATATTACTAATATGCCCTCTTCTTTAATGGTATCATTACCAATAGGGCTGACATTGACATGGGCACCAGTCAAATCTTCCAAGATATTATTTTGACACTCATTTTTCGGGATCCCAGTGGTATTCCTCAGCCCCAGACACCGAACACCTCTCAACATGGTCACTCCGCTGTTTGCAGGCTCTCTTCCTCATCCACTCCCCACTTGCTTTCTCTCTTTTAACACAAGCTGTTGCTTCTTCATCCTCTAGGATTTTGGTCCTGAAACAGCACAGTAGATACAGGTCTGTGATCTCTCACATGGTGACCCTCACACATCTCTGATTTAAAAAAAAAAAAAAAAAAAAAAAAAAATCCCCATTCAAAACAAGCACCATTTTCTCAACCAGAATTTTCAAACCTTGTTTGCTGGCAGTATAAATTGTAACCAAGGTTGCAGGATGTGCCTCGGGCAGTGGGTTTATTTATCTCATTCATTCCGCCTTTTAACATCTGCCACAAAGGCCATACTAGCTCTCTAAAGGACAGGGTTGAACGGGGTCAGCTGGGTGGGTGTGCAGCTTGTGGCGGGCAGGCCACAAAGCATGGCCAACATGGCTCTCGGGTCTGATGTCATCCACCGAAAAGTCTTTGTAACTTGGTCTTTTTGTTTTGTAAGTCCACCGGGACAAGGAGCCATCGGCGGGGGCAAAGGAAGTCCTCCCACTCTGCATGCCCACCTTGGGTAGCCCCTGCCTTCCCATGGGCATTGCCATATCCTAGGAGCACAGGATTCCTGGCCATCTATACGGTCTGGAGTCCAGAGACAGTCTTCAACAAGACAGACACTTTACATCTGGGACTAAGAGGGAGCACAAACGGCACCTAGGGACTGCATCTTCTACTCCAAAGAAAAACCTGAAGCAGATAGAGAACAAAGGCCATGGCATGCTGGCTGTTTTTCCTATCACATCCTTTGTTACTCCAAATGCTTCCTTGTTAGAATCAACAATTGACCCCAAAAATAATGACCTGGGAAAAAAAATAGATTAAGATAGTACAACCAATAATTCCTGTGACTTTGAAGTCCCCCTAACTTACTGTCACATAAAAGGGCCAGAGTTGGTAGAAGGTTGCATTTCCAGGGGCGGGCAGAGGAGGGGTTGTGCCCTTTTTTATTGCATTTCCACTGTCTTGGTACAAACAAAATACACACAGGAAATGTGTCTACTAAAATGTTCTCACTGTATTTGCACTGAGAACTGATATTGGGCAGTGCAAAGATGAACAGAAAAATTCACGCTAAGAGTTTTAAATGTGAATCCTTCTTTACTTAGATCTATGTGAAATGACAAATTGAAACCACCATACCAGGTTGAAGGTGAGGCTGAGGGAGAAAGGAAATGCTGTATGTTTCAGTAGCTTTTAACTATGTCTTTTTTTTCTTTTTTATTCTTTTTTTTTTTCCTGCTTTTTAAGCAGGAAACACTGCATTCTATTTTCAAAGTGGGCCATGCGAGTTATGTATCCACCCCAGGGTGAGAAATGAAAGGGGTCAGAACTGGGCCAGAGCTCAGCAGGATGCAGACATTTGTCTAACTGCTCTTTCTGACACCGGCCCCGTCCCACACTCTAACCCCTCCAAGGGAATCTTATCCCACCCTGAGTTAAAGGCAACTGTCTCACTGGGAGTCGTGTCTCTCCGACACCTCCCCAGCTCACCTGCCTTCCTTCCTCCCTGGCTGTGCTCAGGCAACCCTAGCGCATTTCTTCTAACCGGTCAGGTGTCCTTCCATCCGGGGGCACCATTCCTGAGAGCTGCTTTGACCGACCCTCCCACCCATCTTAATCCCATCCCACCCCACCCCGAGTAACTTAAGCACTGCTTCTTTGAATCCTCATCCAAGGGCACCACCTCCTCTGCTCTCCTAGTCTGCAGTAGTCCTCCCTTACCATCCTTCACCTCCAAACTCATCATGTACACTTAGCTTCCCTGCTTATTCTAGGTCTCCTGCACTGGAAGGGAGCGCCATAAAAGTTTTGTTCTATTTTGCTCACTTCTCTGTACTCAAACTAGGTCAGTCCAGATGTTCACTAAGGAAGCCAATGTATTTTATAAAGTATGAAGTCGTTTAGATGGAGATAAGGAAGGCCCGCTTTAATATGAGACATAAATCTGAATGAGCTTTCATATGACAAAATTATCTGTCACTGGGATCCACAAATGGTGCCTCATCTCTGAAGTCAGGAAGTATTTTGTTTAAGGAAATCCACCCAAACAGGGCGCCAAGGAGCCTGCGGCTGGGGAGAAGGGAAGTGGGATTCTGCCTTTAATGAGCATACCATCATGAGCAATAACCAGGAGCAGCTAAGGCCTCCGGTTGGGTTGCAAAGTGGGCATGATGTAATATAATACCTGCCCTTCTATCTCACAGGCTCCTTCTGTGTGCCGTACATGAGATTATGAATGTAAACATCTTTTTGCAGTGCTGAAACATTAAAGAAATCTTTGTCCTGCTAATTAAGGAAACAGAGGGCTGGGGCGGGGATGGGGGATGGGGGATGGGGGATGGCAGGGCTGTGGGGCCATTAGCTAAGACTGGTGTTTACAGAGACAGCCATGGAAGGCATCACAGCCGAGGAGGATAGCCGCTGATCTCTCGCAGGGTGACCCCCATACATCTCCCCGTGCGACGTGAATGTCACTGAGCCCAATTAGCATTTAGCCTTTCACAGAACATTCAAATTCCTCAACTTCCGAGGGCAGCCATGGCCATATAAGGGAAGAATGGGAAGCACAGATAAGAGGAAAGGAATGAAGAGGCAAAAGGTTATGGGGGGAGATGGAAGGTTTTACATTCCCCCACACACAAAGGACAAGATGCTGCCACAAACTCTGTGATCTGGGGAAAGAATCAACAAAAGAGCACTGGCCAGAAAGGCAGGCCATTCCATTCTCTGCCCTCACCACACAAACGTGTGGTGCGTTCTTATTATTGTTATTAGGGCTAATCTGATTTTCCTTGCAGAGTGTATTTTTATGTGGTTTGCCTTCTGTTCATTTGTTTAATCTTTTATACCCTTCATCGTTCTCACTATGCACAGTTATACACAACCCCAGTCCGCTTTATGCCCCGTGGAATGTATCTTGCCCTGACCCACAGCAGAACTCTGCATATCAGGACTCTCCCCTTCACCAGAATACATTTTTACAATTCATTTTCATACTAACGATGCGCCTGCAAAGACGGTAAGGCACAGGAAATCGAATTGCTCGTGATTTTAAGTCAGGAAACAGAATCATTTTTTTTGAAAGGCCTCCTGAGACGTTTCTGGTCATTTCAAGGCTCCAGAAAACTTAAGCAGAACACTTAAAAAAAAACGCTTTGACGTGTACCAACAAAGGGAGGTAGAAAAGGCTGTCAAGAGTGGGCAGGCTGACAGCTCTCCTGACGAGGGAACCCCTGCACTCTATTTTTAAACCCATCTGAGTAATTTAGGAGAGAAGTCACCATGTCTCCTGATAAAGCCTTCGGGGGCGGCTGGAGGATAAGTTTTCAGCACTGAAAATGGCAGTGCCGCCCACACTGAGAAGGCAGAGCTGCAAGGTTCTCTGTCTTTTAGCAGAACCAAAAAGAAAGGAAGAAAAAAAGTGTGCATTTCCTGAGAGAAAATGCCCAGGAAAATGGAAGCAACTACCCAAAAAAGAGAACCCGGAAGTCCTCGGATCCTCTGAAAATGGGGTAAGCACCCCCTCACCAGTATTGATACCGAGCAAGAGATGAGCATGACATAGAGATTAGGTGAATAGCATGGAGAAAAATTGCTCATGGCATAAGGAAGTACTGTTGTTTCAAGTAACTCCATTGAGAGATTCTTGATTGGAACCATGAGGATGGGCAGGCCACTAAGAAGGCAAAATGACTTGGTATGGGGATGAGGGAACCCCTTACCTCCTGGCTGTATGAAATGCAGTTGATGACGCTGTACCTTGAGGGCTGCCATTAGGATTAAATAAAGTAGGCATCCGTTAACACCACCATGGTGGAAGGCTTGTCCTGGGGTCCATAAGACCTGGAGTGTGTGGAAAGGGTATTAGCATAAGCCACCATAGAGGGCCACTATACTCAGTGCCCTTTTGGGGGATGGGGATGGGGGCAAAGAAATAAATGGGCTCCCTGCCTTTCTCAATTCTAATTAGACTAATACCTGGTCTTAATTTGTCACCTGACTATGACCAGTCTACACTCCCCACCCCCAACACCCTCCACAGGCGCGCGCGCACGCACGCACACACACACACACACACACACACACGCCCCAGGCTATAGCCAAGGGCACAAGTAGTACCAGTGGCCAGCTCTGGATGACTGACCCTGACACAGGCCCCTAAGGGCAATTATTTGACTGAATAGAGTCTCTTATTAGAAATTAATTTCTGTCAAACCAAATTACATGTGAACACAGCCTCTTTGTGATCACTACTGTGATTTCTGGAAACAAACATAGGCCCTACTGTTGCCAAAAGCAAGGCCAGTTTAGGACAGTCTTGAGGCTTGATTGGCCAACACAGCAACAGGTTCCCCAAGGCTCACAAAGGCATTTGCCCTGTGGAGGATAGAGAACTGCCTCATCTTCTAACCCTCCTCCTGCCTGCCCTGTACCCACTGCCCAGGGCGTGTTCTTAGAGACTGGAAAGCATGCTTCATAGTGGAGACCTGCCCTTGGACCTGAGTGTCTTGTCTTCCGAGAGCTTGTGTTTACCCCTGTGAAAACAGAAGAATGACAACCCTATTGCCTGACTTTCAGGACTGATATGGGGCGGGGTACAAACGAGATAACATGTGAAGCCCCTAAAATGCAGAGGACAGACCCTCCAAGGACAATTATTCTGTCTCCTATCATCATCCCCCTGCCTGGGCATCTGTCTTAGTTGGGGTTTCTATTGCTGTGATGAGACACCATGACCACGGCAACTCATAATGTGAAACATTTCACTAGGGCTGGCTTATAGTTCAGAGGTTTAGTCCATTGTCATTATGGTGGGAAGCACGGTGGCACACAGGCAGATATGGTGCTGAAAAGGTAGCTGAGAGTTCTACATCCAAATTGGCAGGCAGCAGGAAGACACTACCACACTGGGCATGGCTTGAGCATCTGAGACCTCAAAGCCCAACCCCAGTGACACACACATCCTCCAACAAAGCCACACCTACTCCAACAAAGCCACATCTACTCCAACAAAGCCACCTACTCCAACAAGGCCACACCCCTAGTAGCGCCACGCCCTATGGGCCAATTATTCCAACGCATGAGTCTATGGGGGCTATTCCTATTCAAACCACGATAGCATCCTACACTGGGATATTATCTTCTGCAAAACTGCTCCTCCATTTGGGCCACTATACTCAGAGTGGTGTGAGCAGGGTAAGGTATTGTTTTCTTGTGGCAAAAGGTTGAAGCAAACAGAGATCTGAGGTTAAAATACTGTAGGTCAAATGTACATCTCTCACACATATATAATACAACTTTTGATTTTCCTCTTCTGTATTCTATCTTCGACATCTACATCACGAGGGTAAAAAGGGAGAGTTGCAGGTGGAATGTCTATTGTGTGATGCTTCTTTATGTACTGATATATCATCAGTACTGTCGGGAAGTTTGATCTGGCATGGCAAGATCTTTTGTGAGTGAAAAGAACCTCAGTGTGTGTCCTTCTCCTGACTGAGAAGGAGTACAAGGCCCAGTGGGAGGTCAACCAGAAGGGGATTACCAGAGGAATTCGTGAATATAATCCTATCTATGTAAACATATAAATGTGCCGCTGTTAGCTTTGTAAGTGAGGATAGAACTGGGTATAGTTGCTCACAACTATCATCTTAGCACTCGGAGAACTGAGGCAGAGGGATTGCCACAAATTTGAGAACACCCTGAACAACATGATGATTTCCAAGCCAGGCTAGGCTATCGAATGAAAAGTTGTCTCAGAAAAAAAACAATCTATAAAAGTTAAATGGAAAAAAATAGACACTTTAGGGCTGGAGAGATGGGTCAGAGGTCAAGAGCACTGACTGCTCTTCCAGAGGACCCTGGTTCAATTCCCAGCACCCACATGGCAGCTCACAACTGTCTGTAACTCCAGTTCCTGGAGACTTAACACCCATGACAAAACACCAATGTATGTGAAATAAAAATAAATAAATTTAAAAAAATAGACAATTGGTTATGAAACTCATAAATTTAAATATCCCTTTCTCAGCAGTTAATAGACAGACTAGCAAAATGTAGTTTTGTATATATATATAGTCTTTCCCTTCCAAGGCTCAAGGATCATCATGGAAGAGATGTTTAAAAACTGCAAAGACCAAAGGTAGGGACCCAGTTGCTGTGAAAGTACTTTCCAGACAAAGCAGAGTTGCTGACCACTTGAACTCACAGTGGCATTCCTAAGACCTTCCTCAAAGCAAGTCAGCCAAAGATCCAGCACGGATGGCTGAAGGCTCACAAAGCACTAACTGAGGATTCATTGACAATTGATAACTGCCAGGGGAGGGTGTCTTAGTTCAGGTTTCTATTGCTGTGAAGAGACACCAAGACCATGGCAACTCTTATGAAGGAAAAACATTTAACTGGGGTGGCTTACATTTTTTCAGAGGTTTAGTCCATTATCATCATGGTGCAGCATGGTGGCGTGCAGGCAGACGTGGTGCTGGAGAAGTTGCCAAGGGTCCTACATCTTGACTTGCAGGCAACAGGAAGTGGTCTGAGACAATGGGCGGTATCCTGAGCATATATGAGACCTCAAAGCCTGACTCCACAGTGACACATTTCTTCCAACAAGACCACACCCACTCCAACAAGGCCACACCTCCTAATGGTGCCACTCCCCTTGTGGGCCACTCTCTTTCAAACCACCACAGAGACTCAGTTTTCTTCAGAGGTAGCCCTTTGATAGGTCACCCAATTTCCAGGGGATGGCCTTATACCAGTGTACATACTGAGGGTACTAAGTGGACTGGGTGGGTTTAAAAGCATACATAAAGTTAGGAGGGGAAAGTAATGGTAGAGGGAGTATGGGAGGAATTGGAGGGAATGGAGTATGGAACGGATTTGATCAAACACATATTTGTGAATGAAATTCTCAAACAATAAATAGATGATGTAAATTTGAACAACCACCAGGAACTCACTGATATTTACTTGTAGACCATTGTATCCATCTATTACAGAACATTTATTTTTTTCCAAAGCCCAAGATCTGGTCTTCAAATTGTGGCTAAGCCATAAAACAATTCTATTTTAAAGGGTTGAAATTACAATTTTTAAAGGGTTGAAATTACAGAGTTTATTCATGAACCATTATAAAGGCAAATTGGAAATCAATAATAAAATGTGTAAGACTTACTTCCAAATATTGGAACTATTGCATAGGACCAAGAAAAAAATATGAAGAAAATTAGAAAATAAACTAAGCTGAATAATAGTGCCAGCAGAAGGCTGGAGAGATGGCTCAGTGGTTTAAAGCACTGGCTGCTCTTCCAGAGGACCCAAGTTCAATTCCCAGCACCCACATGGCAGCTCACGACTGTAACTCCAGTTTGAAGGGATCTGACACCCTCTCACTAATGCACATAAAATGAAGTTGTTTTTTGTTTGTTTGTTTTTTATTTTTTGGTTTTTTTTTTAAAGTAGTGCCAGAAGAGTCTCTGTTTTAGTTTGGGTTTCTATTGCTGCAATAAAATGCCATGACCAAACGCAATTTGGGAAGAAAAGGGTTTATTTTGTTTCTACTTCCCCAACACAGTCCATCACTGAAGGAAGTCAGGACAGCAACTTGAGACAGGAATCAAAGCAGAAGCCTTGAAGGAATGATGTCTATTGCCTTGCTCAGCCTGCTTTCTTACATACCCCAGGACCACCTGCCCAGGGCTGGAACCACCCACCATGGCCTGGGTTCTTCCACATCAATCATCAGTCAAAAAAATGCCCCACAGACATGCTTATGGATCTATCCTATGGAGGCTTTTTTTTTTAGATCATGATTCCTTCTTCCCAAATGACCCCACCTTGTATCAAGTTGAAAGAAAAACTAGCCAGCACGGAGTCTATCGTACTTTGCAGGACAGCAGCTAACAAGGAGGCCAGGAAAACCTAGAGCTTCCAATGCCAAACATAGAAAAAGGAAATCTGAAAATTAGGGACCCCAAGGTTCCTACACCTGAAATTAAAACAAACAAAACCTGAATTAATAGAAAGAAAGAAAGAAAGGAAGGAAGGAAGGAAGGAAGGAAGGAAGGAAGGAAGGAAGGAAGGAAGGAAGGAAGGGAGAAAGAAAGAAATGCTTTAAAGAAGAGCAGAGATCAAGGGAACAGGAGACAGACAGACTAAATTGAATATTAACATGACAGAAGGGTAGGGGAAAGGCACTTGAGCTCTCTTTTCTCCAAATGTCCTACAATTCTAAGTGCCTCAGACTCCCAAAGACTTTCTCCAGGTCCCCGGGTGCCGCCTCCTCAGTCTATTTCTCACGTATTCACTCATTTGCATGTTTCTCCCAGGCCAGGGCTTACCCAAGACTTACCTCTATCCCCAGAACATGAGCGTCCCATCCATCACCTACTTACTGACTTAGAGAGGGTGGGGGTCTGCATCCGGCTTTTTTAAGGCAGGTACGTAGTTGACTGCTGATGACGTAAGATGCCAGACCCAGAGCTGTGCGTGTGCCAGAGTGAAAGCAGGCTCCTAACAAGGTCCTTTTTCAAAACTTCACTTTACAATAGGGTGTGTGCCAGGTACACAGCATTGCCTTACATACTCGATTCATTAATACTCACTATGTCCTTATTTGCCTCTGCATTCTACATATGCCTACTAAGCAACCGCTGTGCACCAGGCACCGTTAATTACAGTAGTTATAATGTATCTGTTATCATATTCTATTTTACCCTTGAAAATACTGAGGTTTAGACAAATTAAGTTTAGCGTCAGAGTACCAGCTGAATACAGATTTTCAACCCATCCCAGAGATCAGGGTTTTTTTGTTTGTTTGTTTGTTGTGTTGGCTAAGTTTGTTCTTTCTGAGACAAGATCTCACTATGTAACCCTGGCTTGCCTGGAACTCCTTTTGTAGACCAGGCCGGCCTTGAACTCACAGAGTTCTGCCTGCCTCAGCCTCCAGAGTGCTAAGGTCACGGGTATACCGCTTGATTATTTCTTTAAATCAGGGAGTAGGCTCCAAAAACTTAAAAAGAAAACTCTTTTTCCCTAAGTCTCACTACTTCCCATCTCCTCCCTCCCTCAGGGTTTACTAAATTCTATCAAATTACTAACCTAACCCTAGGTACAGTTGGGAAAACCTGAGTGAGGGCTCCTGACCTTTGGATGACCTCAGTTCCACCCCCTTTGGTTAGGGCATCCCTAGGCCTCAAATCTCCACAGCAGTGGGATTTAGTTGTCCTTTTGCTCCAGGGCTCATTAGAGCCAGCCTTTCTCACTCAACATCCCACCCACATGTTTCTCTAGCCTGTTGGGAGAAAGCCTGCCTCCCTTCCTGCCAGTCAGTCTCTTGATGGTGACTGATTGATTGGCAGCTTTTCTTGGGTTTTGTTCCGTTCACTTTCATGTATTTGTGGGTTTTCCTTTCATCCACGGCGGGATAAAAAGCCAGGCTGCTTTCTCTCTTTAACTTAGACATCATGAGGAATCCTACAGCTTGGCATCCCCTTAAGAGCTTTGTTTCTGGCCTGATTAGAGGTCTCGCCACACCAGACAACCCCCTTTTCACCTGGCCTGGCCCTAGACTGAAGGAAGCTACTTGAAAAGTCAGAATCAATACAAAATCGTCAGCATCCCTAACATCATCAGATGAAATGTTTCCAAGTGAAAAAAAAAAATTAAGAAAGGAAAAAAGAGAAACAAAAAAAGGAATGTCTGAGTTAGCTGGGTCAAGCACCCACCTTCCCCATGGGCCCCTGGGAGAGCCAAGAGCAAAGCCCCTGGGAGGAATGACCTGCAATAAAACCACCCAACAGTGAAAACACAAATTTTCAGGCCGAGGAGATGGCTGAGGAGATGGCTCTGTAGGTAAGGCCCTTGCCCTGAAGGATTGGTAACAGATTTAATAAACCGAAAGGAAGGTACTTAACAAATTTTGTGTGAAGCTTTCAAAATCCTCTAATTCTATCAATGGTCTCCAAATTAAACGCATCTCCCATGGGTGGGTGGAGGGGTGGGGGGGGATGTTAGCGCCTATTTCTATGGGTGCGTGATCTGCTCAGAAGTGACGCAACCTTCTGTCTGTGGGGTAGTTCCTGGATGCCTTTCCCGTGATGGGGAAAGAGAACTGGGCTTCATTTCTTCCGTGCCTCAGAGAGCACGCCATGTGGACCTGCACGTTGAGGGCTGTCAAGCAGGAAGTGTTCAGTAAACAGAACTTGTCCTCCATTGATTTTGGGTTTACTTTAAGAAGACACTTATCTCTTGTAAAAGGACTGCTTCCCTTAGCCAGTCACCTCTTCAAAAAGGCCTGCAAGAGACACTCCCTGAGGACGTGCAGAAGCCTGGGTCAGCAACTCATGCTTAGAAACAAACAACAATTATCTACATCTGTATATCATGCCCTTCCTTCTAGAGCAGTGGTTCTCAACCTTCCTAAGGCTGTGACCCTTTAATACAGCTCCTCATGTGGTGGGGACCCCCAACCATGTAACTATTTTCGTTGCTACTTAATAACCACAATTTTACTACTGTTACGAATCAAATTATAAATATCTGATATACAGGCTATCTGATATGCAAGCCACAGGTTGAGAGCCAATGTTCTAGCGCAACTCAAGACCCTACGAAGGTATGCACAGATGAGCAAGGCCATGGGTAACACACACACACACACACACACACACACACACACACACACACACACACAGAGACTACAATGGCTTGTCTGGTCCATGCTTTAAAACATGACTATAGCCGGGCGGTGGTGGCGCGCGCCTTTAATCCCAGCACTCGGGAGGCAGAGGCAGGCGGATCTCTGTGAGTTCGAGGCCAGCCTGGGCTACCAAGTGAGTTCCAGGAAAGGCGCAAAGCTACACAGAGAAACCCTGTCTTGAAAAACCAAAAATAAATAAATAAATAAATAAATAAATAAAACATGACTATAATTTCTTCAGTTAAACAACCAAAATACACAGTGTTAACAGGCAGACCTCTAAAAGCCATATTGTTCAACATTATCATTTTCTAAATAACGAAGGTGAAACTTGCTATAAATTCATGCCAAAGAATCTATATTCACCCAAGGGCTGAGGATGTGGCCAGTAGGTAGAGTGCTTGCCTCCAGCAAAAGCCCTGGGTTAGGTCCTCAGCACTGCATAAAGTGAGCATGGCGTCCACATCTGCCATCTTAGCTTTTGTGATGTGGATGGATCAGAAGTTCAAGGTCATCTTCATCTACATAGGAAGACCGGCCTGTCACAAAAAAAAGAGAAGTGGGGAGGGAAAAGGAGGAAGAGAAAAGGAGAGTGGGGGAGGGAAGAAGAAACTATTTATATTCCTCAGAAATTTGAGGCAGGTTAGAATTTCTCCTTAAAATAGAAAAATTAAACAAGCTGGCAGGTTAGACATATCTGGGTTTAAATCTCAACTCCAACCTTGACCACTTTGGTGAATTAATCTCTCTCAGCCTCCACTGTGCTACTTGTAAAATGGAGACACTATGGGAAGTGATCTGGAATATTCCACTGGGATTGACCAGTTTCTCTTTGTTTGTTTCTGGAATGCTCTGGTGGACGTGAGTATAGAGCGTCCCAGAAGTCTTCAAGTGTCATACAGCCCTCGCCAGGAGTGTCGCCGGCAGGAAAAATAGTTTCTGATCATCAAGAATAGAAGGAAGAGAAACAGACATTGTCACAGACTATCACTTCTCCCATCTCTTCTCTAAGGGCGGATTTATCGCTACTAGAAGTCATTTGTTTTTCCCAAACTGACTTTCCTCTACCCTGCCCATCTTAGCTGTCGGCTCCCAAATTCTATGCTCTCCCTCGAGTCACGTTCGAACGTGAACACAACACACAGAAGTGAAGAAAATCTATCTTTAATCCCAGCACTCAGGAGGCAGAGACAGGAGGATCTCTGTGAGTTCAGATCTAGCCTGGTCTCCATAGTGACTTCCAAGGCAGCCAGGGCTGCATAATGAGATCCTGTCTTTTAAAGGGGAAAAAAAAATTCTTTTGATAATGTGTCTTTTCTCAGTTGAATTTGTAACTCGCCCCCTAACTGGAACTAAAAGAGCATAAGGCTTTCCTTGGATGTAGAGATAACATGAATCTATTATTCACCAAGGTAATGCTCTAAGTACCCAGAGCATAGAAATCTATATAATTCCATGTCCTTCTACTATCTCTCCTTATATATTGTAATAAGGAAAGTGGCACAGGGAAGGTTAACCAACTTGTTTGAAGTCAGGCCACCAGTGACAGAGCTGGGATTTGAACCTGGTAGTGTAGCTCCGGAGTCCTTGCACTTAACACTAGAGTAGAGGAATCTGAGAGTCGGGAGAAGCACCAAGGTCTAGACAAGCTGGTCAGCTGACAGCATCTGGCTTGGCCACAAAGGAAGAATTCAACCAATGGCGATTCTATGTTTATTATTGGAAAATCATCTGCCGGTGGCTGTTGGTGATATTTTTTCATCTCTTATCTAGGGCTTAACAAGAAACAAGAAATCCAACTGCTGAATAGTAAAACCAGTTAGTGTTTTAATGAACTGGAGATTAAGAGGTGGTGTACATGATACTGGGTTTCCATCAAAAAAGACAGGGACAAGAGAATCAGGGGCTAAAAAAAAAAAAATGTGTGGGAATGACCCAGTACCACCCAAAAAGCATCCCAGTGAGGAAAAGGCTGTTTTATTTCTTGACCTTAATACAACCAGGATGACATAAGCCGCAAACCCTTGTGGCTCAGATTCTACATTTATTAGCCTCCTTCCAGGTACACCCCACTCCCCACAAATCCTCATCCTGGAAAGATGAGCAATAGCCACTTCTCCGTAGCTGGGCACAAAGCAACAGTTGAAATCCCAGGCTTTGGAGCAGACCCACAGCTTCAGAAAAGTTTCCTGGGTGGGGTGTGTGCAGTTGAGAACCCAGGCTTTGGAGTAGACCCACAGTTTCAGAAAAGTTTCCTGGGTGGGATATGTGGCAGGGAGTGGGGAGGTGAGCTTTGGCAAGTGATTTCATTTCAAGTTGCTGGATTTCTGCTTCCTTGTCTGAAAGATGAAGAGGTAACAATGCTATGAAACCGACCTCAGAGCCAGAGAGATGTCTCATGGGTAGGAGTTCATACTGACCAGACCCACGTCAGCTGGTTCACAGTCACCTGTAACAGAAGGAGATCTGACACATTAATATCACCTTTTCGGGCCCTGAGCTCACACAGCACATTTCACCCATGACATACACAGACATGTAATTTTAAAAATAAAAAAAGAATCTTCAAACAAACAAACAAACAAAAAACCAGTCCTTAGGTGGGTGGTAGCAGCACAACCTTTAATCCCAGAGGCAGGCGGATCTCTGGGTTTGAGACCAGCCTGGTCTACAGAGTGCGTTCCAGGACACAGAGAAATCCTGAAATCTCGAAAAACCAAAAGAAAGAAAAGAAGAGAAGAGAAGAAGAGACAAAAACTACCTCAGAGAACAGTTGAGCCAGCTTAGTAGTAATGGCACAATGTGTATTCTTCAGTAAGCTGAGACATTGAATGTAGCACACGGCAGAGTACTTGCCTGACTCACACAGCACCACAGTGAGGTCCCAAATCACAAATGTCGTGGTGCTGGGGAGGGACTTTGTGATTTATCATCTTTTCACATGATTTTGCATGTCTCCACACAGTAGGCAGAGAGATCTCACGCTCCTCTGAATTTCCACACTATTTTTTCTGGATCTCTTTTTGTGGAGAGGGCTAGCATGATTCTCAGTGGGGTAGCCAAAGCATTGAGCTCTCTACATGAATTTTCTCAGTTAATACTGTAACGACGCTGTAAGGTCAATAGTACTATTATCTCCATTCTTTTTTTTTTTTCTTTCTTCCCCAAGACAGGGCCTCTCTGTGTACCCGTGGCTGTCCTGGAACACACTCTGTAGACCAGGCTGGCCTCAAACTCACAGAGATCTACCTGCCTCTGCCTCCCACGTGCTGGGAGTAAAGGCGTGCGTGGCCGCCACCAACTGGCCTCCCCATTCTTTTAAACCTGTAAAAACAGGAAAACTTAGCGAGGCTAATAAAGGCTACCCAGGTATGTAATGATGCAAGTAGTATTTGAATCTGCAAGAATCTAAACCCAGAGCCTGGGCTCTTAACTCATTACTTTACATCTATCAGTTATTTATATTTACTATCTTTCTATCAAGGCTAAAGGTCAATATTTATATAAACCTAGCTTTCTGTGTTTTCCAGGACGTTCCCTAAGTACAATGGGTTGTCTACCTGTCACTAAGTTAGTGAGAAGTCTGTACTGCAATCACATTCCCCAGAGACCCGTCAATCATCATCTCTTTGCACCGTTTTAAGTGACTGACATCAGTTGTCTCGTTGACCTTCAAGACTCCAATTACTGTTTTCATCCCCACTGTACAGGTGAGAAAACCAAAGTGAAGGGAGTCTGAGTCCAAGGTCACATGGCACACAGGTGAAAAATCTGTTCCACAGCCATGACCCCATCAGTCTACAGCCAGCCTGGGCTACAGAGCAAAATACTATCTAAAACAAACAAGTCAACGTATTTCACTGCTAGAATGGATAGAGACCAGCGACCATTCTGATGTTTCCTTACTGAAAGGGCTTAGAAGTAACATTGGACCTAGGAGAAAAGGGTGAGTGATCACAAAGCTGTATTTTCATAGGAAGTGCACAAATTTTTAAATCAAGTTCCAGGGGCCACTGCAGGTTGTGGGTGGACTTTGTGAGGGAAAATGAAAAGGATAATAATCATGCCTTGTCTGAGGATATATGAAACCTGTGAGCTGGGTGAATGTATTTATGTGCCAGTCTTGCTCACCATTTTCCCACAGTGACTGAAATGCCAATAAAGTGAAACTTCAAATCATCCAGAGTTTCTGGCCATGGTAGCACCAATCTGATGAGAATAAATGGTGAAGCAGGCCTCACAGAGCCTGTGTGAGGGTGTTGACAGTCACCCACAGTGGCGTCAGCTGCACAATAATGGTCTGTGTAGAAAGGGACCCACCTCATTCTCCAGAGACCAAGGCTTCCGGGTGGAGACGTGATTCAGGAAAAGGAAGATGGCATCATTCAGGCCGTTCCCTGAAGAGGTCCGTCCAATGCATTGTGGCAATCACAAAGGCAGGCATCATTAGGAAGGATGTAGAAAACAAAATAGAAAAGCACAGACTTGGAGCACTCATACACACACGCGTACACACACACACACACACACACACACACACACACACACACACACACGCACACAGACACTAGCGTTCATCCGCTCTAGAAATACCACATGGAGTTCTAGCCACCAAATGTCATAATGAAACTGGAGGTTATCCAGAGAAGGTCGAGTAAAATGATTAGGGATTGAAAAGGAAGCAAGGAGGCTTCAACACACGCGAGCCTAGAAAGACAAAACTGTGAGAACTGGCAGGCCAGAGCCACGAAGTCTTCAAGTACAGTCCACACAAACGGAGACACCAGATCAGTAAGACAGACCTAGCAAAATGAAAACCAAGTGCTTGTAAAAACAATCCACGTTTTCGTGTCCCATTCTGAAGGGCAAGACATGAATTACGGGAAAGTCCAACTCTGAAACCGTCCATAGCTGCATGCTATAACTGTGTGAGGTCACAGCTAAGCTATGTGTGCTTAGCTTCTGGAGGCCCATGTCATAGTTAGCAAGTCCCCTTTCATAAGGCTCTTTAAACACACTTGTCTGGTACATGGCTTATCAGGGTAATTCCCAAACTTGACACTCAAAAAAAAAAACAAAAAAAAAAAAAAAATCACCAAACAATCCAAAAACAAAAAACACCCAGGGACCTTTTATAAGAAACAGGCTCTGGATTTTGTTTCCATTGATTTTGACTCTATAGTTCTGGGGCCTGGCAACCCTAAGGGAAAAATCTTCCACAAATAATAATTGAGCTTGTGATATGAATAGGTGAACTTTACTCACATCCCATTCTGAAATCTACCACTGAAACCAGAAGTGAGATTTTTTTTTAAAATTAATTAATTTTTATGTTATGTGCATTGGTGTTTTGCCATGGGAGCTGGGTCCCCTGAAACAGAAATTACAGAGAGTTATGAGCTGCCATGTGGGTGCTGGGAATTGAACTCAAATCCTACTGGAAGAGCAGTCAAGTGCTCTTAACCACTGAGCCATCTCTCCAGCCCCAAAGTGAGATTCTTTTAGGCCTAGACTAGGTCATGCACCCTTCCTAAGGTCGGGATGAGGTTTACCCCAGGGGGAAAAAAAAGTTATTGAATAAGTTAGATAATCACCCTCAGTCATGATGCTTTCTCCATCAAAATTAACATTCCTTTATTTAATGTAAAGCAAACAAATAACAAAAAAAAAAAAAAAAACCCTGTGTTTAAGCTGTTTTGATGGCATACACCTACAACCCCAGCATTCAGAGAATGTCTTACTTGGCTGGCAGGATAGTTTAGTGGGTAAAAACACTTGCCTCCTGTAGTTGTCTTTTTTACTCTTTGGGGGGCCCACCACCCAGTTCCCAAATAAAAACACATGGAGGCTTATTCTTCTTTCTTATAAATGTCCAGCCTTAGCTTGGCTTGTTTCTAGTCAGCTTTTTTTTTTTTTTTTTGGTTTTTTGAGACAGGGTTTCTCTGTATAACAGCCCTGGCTATCCTGGAACTCGTTCTGTAGACCAGGCTGGCCTCAAACTCAAAGAGATCTGCCTGCTTCTACCTCCCGTGTGCTGGGATTAAAGGTGTGTGTCACCATTGCCTGGGTAGCCAGCTTTTCATAACTTGTCCCATGTACCTTTTGCCTCTGGGCTTTTACTTTTCTCCGTTTCTGTATATCTTTTCTTTCCTTCTTATTCTGTTTCTGACTGTGTAGCTGGGTGGCTGGCCCCTTCTTTTCTTGCTCCTTGATTTTGCTCCTCCCAGATTTCTCCTCCTACTTATTCTCTCTGCCTGCCAGTCCCACCTATCCTTTCTCCTGCCTTGCTATTGGCTGTTCTGCTTTTTATTAGACCAATCGGGTGTTTTAGACAGTAACACAGCTTCATGGAGTTAAACAAATGCAACATAAAGGAATGCAACACATCTTTGCATCAGTAAACAAATGTTCCACAGCACAAACAAATGGAACACATCTTAAAATAATATTCTACTCCGGGCGGTGGTGGCGCACTCGGGAGGCAGAGGAAGGTGGATCTCTGTGAGTTTGAGGCCAGCCTGGACTACAGAGTGAGTTCCAGGAAAGGCACAAAGCTACACAGAGAAACCCTGTCTCAAAAAACCAAAAAAATAAAATTAAATAATAATAATAATAATAATAATAATAATAATAATAATAATAATAATAATAATAATATTCTACAATAGCCTCCAAGCTTAAAGACCTAAGTTCAACCCCCAGGATCCACATGGTAAGAGAGAATCAACTCCTGCCAGTTGACCTCTGACCTATACACACACATATACTCACACACATGTGTGCACATTCATATACACACTAGCCATGACACGAGACACACACACACACACACACACACACACACACACACACACACACATATATATATATATATATATATATAATCATTTATGCACCTAAAAACCTGAAATACTTCTTCAGTTTTGAGAAGGAATCCCAAAGATATTTGAATGGCATTCCTACTCCACTGTTAACTCTAGAAAACTGGGGGAAGTAAAACTACAAGAACTATGGCAGTAGCTGCTGAAAACTATGTCATCCGCGTAGGACAATGAGATAAATACAGCTAAACGATTTCGATTTCACTCAGTGGAAGCTCGAGATTACTTCTCACAGCCCTGCATTCAAACCCGTTTCATGTAAGACGTGAAACAGGTTGTGTTTACCAAGAATGACAGCCACCCAGCCCCATTGCACCTGTTCTCCCACAAACTTGGTCCTCCTCCATCCAAAGGCAGGTTGCAATGGCCCCTTCTGAACTTGTGTTCAGAAGTGACTCCTGAGGCGGTAAACGTTCCCGCGGCTTCCACCTCGTGCTCTCACTGGGATTTTATCCATGGAACCTAGCCACCCTACTGTGAGGAAATCTAGGCCATGTGGAAAAGAACCAAAGTTGCAGGCTGCAGCCCCTGAGCAGCTCCCAGCAGCCACTGCCAGATAACTGAGGGAGATGTCTTAGAACTGGGTTCTCTGGGACTGAAGGTGAGCTTCAGAGAATTTCAGTGAACGTCCAGCGAACCAACCTGCCAAGAGCGAAGACCACCCTTCCTTCCTGAGCCCCACCCAAGTACAGACTTATAAACAAAATAAGTTATCATTGGGGTGTTTTGTCATGTACCAATAACTAACAGAAACATAAGGGTCATTCTTGCTATAATTATGGGGGGGGGGACTATTTTCAAAGATCTCCTTCCACACCTTCTTCTTTTCTTCCTTTAGTGTATATAGTAGTAATTAAACTGAAACTAATAAAAAGTCATCAGTGTGGGGCTGGTGAAAGAGCTTTGTCGGTAAATCTCTTGTCTTACAAGCAGGAGGAGCTGAGCTTGATCCCCAGAACTCACAAACCAGGTGTGGTGGTGTGATTACCCCAATGCTGGAGAGGTAGAGACGGGAGGATTCCAAGTAATTGCTAGCCAGCCACCCTAGCCAAATTCACAAGCTCCAGGCCATTGAGAGACCTTGTCTAAAAAAGAAAGAAAGAAAGAAAGAAAGAAAGAAAGAAAGAAAGAAAGAAAGAAAGAAAGAAAGGAAGGAAGGAAGGAAGGAAGGAAGGAAGGAAGGAAGGAAGGAAGGAAGGAAGGAAGGAAAGAAGGAAGGAAAGAAGGACAGAAAAAAGGAAATACAAACAGACAGGAAGGAAGGAAGAAAGGAAAGAAAAAAGGAGAAAGGTGGATGGGACCTGAGGAATAACACCCAAGGTTGTTTTCTGTCCTCTGTGAACATGTACATACAAATATCACAGACACAAAGTAGTCAATATGAATTCAGAATGTTACCTAGGTAGTAGAGCGCTTGCCTAATATGCCAAAGACCCTGGGTTCAACCCCCAGTACAACTAAAATTTTTTAAGAATGTATTTTTTGCCAGGCAGTGCACTCCTTTAATCCCAGCACTCAGGAGGCAGAGGCAGGTAGATCTCTGAGTTCAAGGCCAGCCTGGTCTACAGAGCGAGTTCCAGAACAGCCGAGACTACACAGAGAAATCCTGTCTCAGAACCCCCTCCCCCCCCAAAAAAAAAAGCTGAATATTTCTTAATTTTTAAAAACTATAATAAAAAATTAGATTTTCTCCAAAAGCCAGAAAGGGACAAGTCTAACAGAAAAGGAACAGTAGAGTTTGTGTTGCTGTTGTTAATTTTCTTGGTGTCTTTCAGGATGTCATTTTCCCTGTGCCTTTGAGAGTTCATCTTCTGAAAACACAGTGAGTCGAAGCTTCTCTGTCATAGACCTTCCCTGCTTTGTCTGGGTAAGTTGCTGGGTCAGACTGCGGATGCGTAGGCTATTCATCGTTTCCTTTGTAAACATTAAAATACAGGCTATAAAATATTGTTTGCATGGTTGAAACAAAGCAGGACGTACAAGGAATCCGCTTGTCTTCAGAGGGCCCTATGATTTGGGGCAGTCGGAGACCGACACGGTGATACCTGGGAGCACGGCCTTGCCTTTGGCCTTGGAGGGTTCCAGTCAGTCTTTGGGTGCCCTTTATTTTCACCTTGTTTCATCAAACGAACTCACATCAAGGGCTGAATAAATATTTGTGAATGGTTTGAACTTTGTTCTGTGCCCTTCAATTCTCTTTGGACTTGGAAGGACATTTTAAAGATTCATCTCCCCAAACTGGACCCACTCAGAGCCAGTTGCCAAGTGAGCGCCGAGGACGCAGGGATTGGATAAGAATGTTTGAAAGTCTTGAAGGATATTTGAGAAACTGCCTGTGAGGAACTGCATATAAATTTACTACCAAAGTAATCCTTGTGAAGCAGTTTACGGTCTGTGGACTGGTTTTCTAAGGGCTTTTCAAGGATTTTGTCCTCCAGCCAGCCACCATGGGACCTTTCTGTATCCTTCTACGCCACTCCACTCTGTCTCCCATTCTTAATTCTCTGGCTCTCGTTCTGCAGACCTCCACTCTTTCTCTTGCCCTTCCCTCACCCACCCTGACTCCCTCTCACAAATTTCTTCCAGAAGACTCAGAGCGAGGAGGGGAGCTGCATTCAGAAATCCAGAAATCTCCCTCCCCTGACAGAGGAGTGTGAGCAAGGGTCAGGGCCAGGTCAGCAGCGCTAGCAAGAGATCCTTAGGAACACGGGTTTTGTAATTTATGTGCTCATCGGGCCCCGGGGTTGGGCAACTTCTCTCTGGAGAGGAAGGGAAGAAGCTTCCAGATGAACTGACACTTCTCTGGCAGCTTGGCCTTTCATGATTTGGCTGTGGGCATCCCAGGCCGGGTAACCTCTGATTCCTCCTCCACTTCCTCGGCTGTAAAAATGGAGGCGCCACTTCCTATCCAGCATCACAGGATGTTGTAAAGAGAGGAGTAAATACTGAGGACAAGCAGTTTAAAGTAGACAGAGCCTCGGAGGTCAGTTCTGAAAGGTAACAATGGCCAGTGGACACCAACACAGGAGAGAGAGAGAGACAGAGAGACACAGACAGACAGACAGACACACACACACACAGATTCCCCAACACAGCACTAGATGCCCCATATGGGTGGATATAAATGTTCCCCAGCTCTCACTTCCTCAGTTTCCCCTTTGGAAGATAACAATAATAAAGCCTACCTCATAGAGCCATTCTGAGGAGTAAATGTGGTATTACTCGCCATGTACAGTATGTGGTACCTATCATAGACAGTTTCAACCCCCCTTCTCATTTTATCCTTTTACAAGTCCCACCCACCCGTGATCAGAAGGTTAGAAGTACGAGAAGAGCCTTGAATGATAGATAAGCATTCACTCATTTAACAGACAAGAAAAAACAAGCAAGCAAACAAACAAACAAAAAACTCAGTGAGGCTGAAAGCCTTGCTCAGGATTACTTCCTTCATTAGTGAGAGAACAAGAGTTACATCTTGCAGGACAGTGGTGGCGCAAGCCTTTAATCCCAGCACTCGGGAGGCAGAGGCAGGCGGATCTCTGTGAGTTTGAGGCCAGCCTGGGCTACAGCGCGAGATCCAGGAAAGGCGCAAAGCTACACAGAGAAACCCTGTCTTGAAAAACCAAAAAAAAAAAAAAAAAAAAAAGAGTTACAATTCTTGCCTTCCAATTTCGGGTGCATGCAGATCTCCGTTTTCATTCCTCTGAAGACTGGTGGTATTTTTTTTTTTTTATCCCCAGACAACCCTTCTTCATTCCACTTTTAACCCTAAAGCCTGTCCACCCCACTAACGGCTGCCCTGAGCTTTCTGCCGCACCCACAAAACCTGCGGACGACCTCCTCTCCTCCAAGAGCCCCCTCCTCCCGCCACAAGGCCGGGAAGGTAGTACTTTCTCCCAGACCGGAGGATGGCACAAATGGGGACAGAAAGTGAAGGAGCCCGCAGAGCCGCAGCTGCGGGCGAAGGTTGCCCCTGGTAACGGTGAGGGCTCCATTCAGGAAACCAGCCCAACTCTGAGAAGGAAAATGATAGCCTTCTTGCTTGGCTCCTTGCAAGCACAAAGAAAGCCGACAGGGTAGCAGGAAGAAAGGGAGGCTACAGGCGGGGTGAGGTGAGGGCCCATGCTGTCAGTTACAACCTCCCCCCTTTCAGAGGAGCAAGGGAAGAAAAGCATGCAGCTCTTTGGATCTCCTGGCCTACGTGAACCGTAAAAATCACCCTTTTAACGTGAACCCTTTTGTGGGAATAGAGGAAGCAGGCACCCCTGCGTTCACCAGTCTTACAAAACAATATGCCAGGAGGAGGGGAGAAACCCCAAACGCTGCAACTTTATGGGGACCCTAAACTCTTCGTGCTCTGCCTCCCTCGCTCAGCCTGGTGACAAAGACCATTTGCTCCCAATTTATTGGACACTTCTTTTTTTTTTTTTTTTCACAGCTTGAGCTGCTTAAATGCTGCAAGCTCCCTCTCCTGAAATCACTCTCAGACACTTGCTGAATGGGCCAGGCTCAATTATGCTCCCTGCACAGGTTCAGCTCACACTGTGACCCTGCCTGGCTTCCTGCTATTCATACGTGTTACTTCCCCTTTGTGGTAATGGCTTGTGGCACTTGGCCAGAAAACATTATTAATTTCAGAAGTGGACTGACAAACAAACCCTCAGTGAAATAAGAGGAAGTACTGGGGGAGGCCAGCTGTCGGCTGGAGCCCGGCAGTAGGAACTCAGTGTGCAAGTTCGGGGAGGGATGGAGATGTCGGTCCACCAAGGGGAAACGCGCTAAAATTACCCACAGCGCCACCCCCGTCCCCACCCCACCCCTCACCCCTCCACGGAAAAAGAAAGAAAAAAGAGAGAGAGAAAAGAAATCAGAGGAAAGGAGGAATGAAAGCGCTCAGCTACTTGAGCTGCAGCTGGACAGGAAACGCTGCTTGCAAATCCCTACTTTGAACGGGGAGTTTAGGGAATGCCAGGAACGGAAACTCTTCAGAACTGGATTAACGGGAGCCAAGCTGCACTGCCTGCCTTCCGTTTCTGCTTTCTGGGTTCCTGCTGACTTGGGGACACCCAAATAGGAGCCTGACTCGGTTATTTTTTTTTCTGCAGTTTGGTTTTTGGACTTAGTCGCTTAAAAAAAAAAAAAAAATCACTCCCAGGCATGTGGGCACAATTGCTTGCAGAATGAAATCCACTTGCCAATGACATGTTAGAATGCCGAAGAGCATGGCAGTCGTCTCCCGTGGTGTTGCTGGTGTCGAATGCTCAGTTTCCCATTTCAAAATGGTAGAGCTCAGGTGTGAGATCCCCAAATCTACGTCCTAGCACTTATTACTCTAACAGGCATGCCTTCTTTCTACCTTTGGTTTATGTACTTCCGTGCTCAAAAAAAAAGTCTCCAAATAAATAAATAAAAATTTAAAATGACAGAATGCCCAGCCTTTGGCTCAGAAGGAAATTTCAAGTCTATAACTGAGGTTCAGTGGGGGTTCTGGCCTACATTCTGAAACAGCTAAGCACACAAGCAGACTTGAATTGGGAGAGCAAGATTTCATCCTAAGCGACCACTTGCAAGTCCATAAGAAAGTCAACATGCCATCAGAATGTCATGTGCACAGAAGGGGGGGGCATTTTAGCTTGTGCTAAGATAACTTCCAGTAGAAGCAGACAGCCTGGAAAAAATGATTATCTCTACTTCCTTCCTAGCATGCCAAAGGATTATGGAGTAGAGGATCCTGCAGGGCAGAGGTTACCATGTGGCTGTCATTATCCTGGCACAGTCTTCTTTTGGCAATTTATAGATAGCCAAACCATAGAAGGGATATACTGTGGACTTCATTTTTCCAGGGGAAGAAAATATTAAGCCTGAACTACTCATAACGCATTATCTGTATGTATGATATATACCCTATTAAGTCTTCTTGATAAGAAGCAAAATTAATTTCTGTCTGAAAAACAGTAATAACCTTGCCTTGGCCATCACTACAAGCTTTATCAGTTCCCACTACTTAAATGTGTTACTTAACACACTAAGGAGACATTTAAAAATAAAAACACATTCAATAGCCAAAATAGTTATTTATTAATAATTTAAGGTTTTACATTCTTATAATAAATTCCAGCTCAAAACTTTACACCACGAACATCATGGAGCAAGTTAGTCCTCCCTTCTCCACAGCCTGATGCATCCCACCTATCAAATGGGTACCCATGCTCACACACACACAGACACACACTTCCAGTTTCATATCATTTTTTTTTAAAGGAAAGAAACCAACCATAAGTATTGCATTTGAGGTGACACTCCCTGAAGAATTTTGTACAGAGGTAATAATATACTGTTGAGCACAGCTAAAGTTAAAAAAAAAAGTGAACCCACAATTTTGGTGTCTTCCCAAGATACCCCCCCTTTGAGACAATGTAAGCCAAATATTTACAAAGGTAAGGCAGAGTCAAAGTACATTAAGGGGGGGGGGGGGATCAGAAGGAAGATATATGAAAGATACTTAAGATCGCACCTTAACAAAGTCTTAGTGATAATAATATCTGCGAAAATGTCATCAGAATTGGTACAATTAGGTCAAGCATGCTGCAAATATACCCTTTGGATTAGAAAAGAGCAAAATTTTCCTTATTTTGTTTTAAGTGGCATACTGCTCTTCCTCTCCCTTTGGACTTCTTTTAAACCCTTCAAAGATAAAAACAAATACAAGCCAAACAAACACTGGTCAAGTGATTTAAAGATCAAATATTTACAATAATCAATTAAAAGAGTATCAGTTCTGTTTTTGTCTTCCCAAACCGATACCACAAATACAGAGCTAAAATCTCTTTGGCTCCACTATATGCAAAGTTGAATCAGTCTTCACTGAAGACAATATACAGTTAGTTCCAGATGCAACAGGAAACAGCCATTGGAGGCCCTAGAGAACACATGCCCCTACCCTACTTCTTGGCCCTACCCTCTTCATCTGGACGGACATCCAGTCCCTGCTTGGGTAGGCTGGGGTACGGGAGCAAACCTATTGCCATGGATCTAGACAGCATGTCCTGTCCTTCCAGAAAGAATGAATGGAGCAAATCTCTCCCTCTGTAATAACCAATTTTGCACTTGGCAACCTTGTCCAATACAGACAGCTGGTGACATTTTTGACACCTGAGGCCACACACAAAGAAAGCAGCCTGCTCGCTGCTGCCCAAGAGAAACTGCTGAAGGAACGGGACACTCCCAGCTAGGCCAAGTAGGGTGCCTTTCACGTAGACTGCAGGGAGT